TCGCGACTCCTTTGGGAGGTGAACGACCCACCCTTTCACAGGGGTCGTCTAAGACATCCTGCATATCAGATATTTACATTACAATTCATAACAGTAGCAAAATTAAAGTTATGAAGTAGCAACGAAAATAGTTTTATGGTTGGAGGGTCACCACACATGAGGAGCTGTATGAAAGGGTTGCGGCATTAGAAAGTTTGAGAACCACTGATTTAGGTGGCAGTTAAATGGGTTTTCCCTGTTCAGCTTTCCATTTTTAATTAATTTTATTATGAAAATATTCATAACAAAATGAGGGTAAAAACATATGCATAAAAATCTGCAGTTTGAAGACAGGGCTTTGGGGTAAGAAAGGAACTTTTTAGGTTATGTACTTTATATAAAGCAAAAATTGTAAATGGTTCTTTGACACAGTAATTCCACATTTAGGAACCTATCCTACTATAGTAATTCTAAATATAGGACATGTAGAAATAATATATAGAAAAAAATTGTATAATATATAGAAAGGAGGTGTGGAGGAGAAGTAGGAGAGGGTATAGGGGGATAAATGGTGATGGAAGGAAATCTGACTTGAGTTGGTGAACACACAATACAATATACAGATGACTTATTAAAGAATTGTACACCTAAAACGTATATACCTTTTTAACCAGTCACCCCAATAAATGCAATAAAAAATTTTTCATGCTGGAAATGTTTGGAAACAAAACTTTTTTTTAAATATATTTTTTATTGATTTTTTACAAGAGAGGAAGGGAGAGGGATAGAGAGCTAGAAACATCGACCAGCTGCCTCCTATACACCCCCTACCGGGGATGTGCCCGCAACCACAGTACATGCTCTTGCCCGAAATCGAACCTGGGACCCTTCAGTCTGCAGGCCAACGCTCTATCCACCAAGCCAAACCGGTTTCGGCTGGAAACAAAAACTTTGAAATAGCTTAAATATCTATCGAATAATAGAATAATTACTTTATGGTATAGCAATTAGTTTCATTTTAATGATAAACACAATGTAATAACATGGAAGGTGCTTATAGTATAACATTTAGTGGATAAAGTCATGACAAATTTTTATTAGCATGATTACAATGATTTTTATTTTATTTTATATATTTTATTGAATTTTTACAGAGAGGAAGAGATATATATATATATATATAGTTAGAAACATCAATGCAATAGAATCATCTATAGATCAGCTGCCTCTTGCACACACCCTACTGGGGATGTGCCTGCAACCAAGGTACATGCCCTTGATCAGTATCGACCCTGGGACCTTTCAGTCCGCAGGCCGACGCTCTATCCACTGAGCCAAACCGGTTTCAGCTACAATGCTTTTTTTACAAAATATTTTTATTGATTTCAGAGAGGAAGGGAGAGGGAGATAAAAACATCAATGATGAGCCGAAACTGGTTTGGCTCAGTGGAAAGAGCGTCGGCCTGGGGACTGAAGGGTCCAGGTTTTGATTCCAGTCAAGGGCACATGCTCGGGTTGTGGGCTCGATCCCCGGTAGGGGGTGTGCAGGAGGCAGCCAATCAATGATTCTCATCATTGATGTTTCTATCTCCCTCTCCCTTCTTCTCTGAAATCAATAAAAAATATATTTTAAAAAAAGAAACAGAAAATAAATTAGTGCTTACCTATGGCTGTTGGTTTTGGGGAAAGTGGAGAGTGAATACTAATGGGTATGGGATTTCTTTGAGGAGTGATAAAAACTCTGTGAACACACTAAAACCATTGACCTGTACATCTGTTGGACAAAGGGTTGCCAGTTCAATTCCCAGTCTGGGCACATACCTGGGTTGAAGGTATTCCCCATTAGGGCATATACAGAAAGCAACCTGTTGATATTTCTCTTCCCTTTCTCTCTTTAAGCATGTCCTGAGGTAAGGATTAAGAAAACAAAAAGGCCCTGCCAGTGTTGCTCAGTGGTTGAGCGTTGGCCCATGAACCTGAAGGTCGTGGTTTTATTCCCAGTCAGGGCACATGCCTGGGTTGTAAGTTTGATCCCCAGTAAGGGACATGCAGGAGGCAGCTGATTAATGTTTCTCATAGATGTTTCTATCTCTCTATTCCTCTCCCTTCTTCTCTGAAATATAAATGTAAATATAAATATAAATATACACACTGAGTGGCCAGATTATTATGACCACCCCATCAGTACTTTGTTGGGCCACCTTTTGCCTTCAATACTGCGGCGATTCTTCTTGGCATTGACTCCACGAGATGTTGAAAGGTGATGCGAGGAATCTGACACCATGCCTGATGACTTCCACTGCCCAGTTCTGGGAGGTTTGATGGTTGTGGAACCAGCTGCCTGATGGCTCTTTTAACTTCTTCCCACAAATGCTCGATTGGTTTGAGATATGGTGACTGTGGGGGCCACCTAAGCAAGGTAAAGTCTCGCTCATATTCTTGAAATCACTCCTGCACAATACGAGCAGCATGGCATGGTGCATTGTCTTATTGGAAGAAGCCATCTCCATTGGGATACACCATCAACATGATGGAATGAACTTGATCAGCAATGAATCTTTGGTATGTTATGCTACTCAGACATTATTCCACATGAATTAAAGGGCCCAAATCATGCCAGGAAAACATGCCCCAAACCATAACACTGCCCCCACCAGCTTAAAGGGTTGTACTCATGCATATGGGGTGCATGCTTTCATACTGTTTTGGCCAAATTCTCACTCTGCCATCTGCATGACACAACTAGAAATGTGATTCATCGGACCACATGACTTTTTTCCAATGCTTGACTGTCCAATCCTTGTGTTCCTGTGCAAATTGGAGACGTTTTATCTTGGTAATTGCAGACAGCAAAGGTGTTCGAACAGGCCTTTGGCTTCCATATCCCATACGATGCAGTGTAAGGCTAAGTTGCCTACAAATGTCAGGTGGTCATAATAACCTGGCCACTCAATGTGTGTGTGTGTGTGTGTGTGTGTGTGTGTGTGTGTGTGTGTATTGTTTTTAAAGACTTTTGAGCCAAACTGTCAACAATTGCTGGGAAGCAGAACCTCAAGGAATTGAGATAATGCTCCAGAGCAAGGCGGGTTTTCCTCTATTTTTATACATTACAATCAAAGGAGGAACTTAGGTGGGTTACATGAAATCCATTGATGATAGACTAGAGAGGTGGGAGAAAACAAACAAAGGGGAGGGAAACCTCTGGGATTGGATAAAAAGTAAAATGATAGACAAGTACTTAGGTGGGTACAGGAACAATTAACATGATAATGATGAAGGAATTTGTGGTATCTGTCCTGGCTCCCTGGCACGTTAGGGAGCAGTGCCCTAACTGTGCCCCAGGGGGCCTGGAAAAAGGGAAGTTACAAGTTACCCAGACATTTCAAGGATATGTTATTATATTAGTAGATGCAAAAAGACTGGCTCAGTTTAAGTAAAGGTTGACTTTGTCAGTGAAGATACCAGTCTAGGACGTTAACTACCCACCATAACTACTTTAGTTAAAGTTTAATTTCAGACCAGCCTTTGTGGTTACTTTAGGTCTTGGAGTTTGTGAGGACGTCATGCAGGCCTTCCTTGAGTTTGTCAGGTTAGCAAGTGGCCCCTTTCATCTACATATCCCCTTTTTGGTCATAAATCAATCCAAAGGATGCATTGATGACCAACCTTTTTGTTGGATTATGGAGTCTCATGGTGCTAGGAAGGCTCATTCTTAGGATGTCTCACTGTCAGCATTTGTCTTGCTGAGCAAGTGGACCACTGGGGACGGGATAAGACCATAACCTTAGATGACTTAGATGGCACTTAAGGTCCAATTAATATTATTTTTTAAAAAGGGGCAGGTAAATGGGAGACAGTCAGATCCTATATGTCTTAGCTAAAAAGTATTCTGTCTCATTTCTAATTTTTGAGCCACCATGATCCGAGTCTTTTTGCTGTTGGTCAAGTTTCGTTTTTCTGCATCTAGTATAACATTTACATACCAGGAACAAAAGTATCTGCTATTATTCAAAAGTTCCAAATTTTCTTCTGGGCAGTCAATTTCATCCATTCCTATATTTAGACAATATTCACCTAAAATACTCATTTAAATTAGATCTATAAATAATTCTACCAGGGGAATTATTAGGGAGGTGTTCTTGGAGAGATTTGTCCAAGGTAGGAAACATATTTTTTTTAAACATTTAAAAAATGGGTGAATGATATGGCATGTGAATTATATCTCAATAAAGTTATTGTAAAAATTTTTTAAAAAATATATTTTATTGAATTTTTACAGAGAGGAAGGGAGAGGGATAGAGAGTCACAAACATCGATGAGAGAGAAACATCGATCATCTGCCTCCTGCACACCCCCAGCTGGGGATGTGCCTGCAACCAAGGTACATGCCCTTGACCAGAATCAAACCCGGGACCTTTCAGTCTGCAGGCCGATGCTCTATCCACTGAGCCAAACCGGTTTCTGCAGTTATTGTAAAATTTTTAAATGGTACAAATAAAAAAGAAAATTGGAGAAAAATGTGCTGTGTTTGTGGTGGTAGCATTATAGATGATTGAAGTAAATTTTTATTTATTTTGATGGTATAGCAAAGGTGGAAATTTATTGAAGAACAAATACAGACTCCCACTTGGGGAGGTGAAAAGAGTCCCCAAAAACATGTTTTAAAGGCACTAGATGCATATCCCAGACAACTATTTACAACCATTGCATCTTCGTAGGCTGTGGATATTACACTTAAGCGTATCCTATTTTTCTTAATGGTATATTAATGCATTTTCATAATGCATTATAGATCTCACCTTTTTTCCCCTAACGTGCATTTGGGTCAGGAGGAGGGAGCCATGACTTCAGGCAGATGGGGGGCGGTGGTGGTGGCACAGGCCCTTTGAACCCCGGCTCCCCAGGGAGCGGTCACACCCTCACCTGGGGCCAGAGGCCCCGCCCTCCCGCCGGGATCCGGTGTCCCGGGCGCTCAGGCCATTGGCCCGGACCCGCCTCCCCGCCGGCCGCCGGGGTCACCGTTCCGCACGCGGGGTCAGGCCCTCTCGCCGGGTCACGCCCCCTCCCGCGGGAGGAGGGTCGCCGGCCCCGGGCATGGGTCGCAGTTTGACTCGCCGGCCAGCCACGGGCCTCTGGCCCCGGACGCGCCCGCGCTGGGCCGCGGCCCTGCTGTCCCGCCCCGGGAGCCGCGGCCCCGCCCCCGAGGCCGGCAGCCCCTCCTCCGACTCGGTGCAGCAGGCCTGGGCCGCGCCGGGGGCCATCGCCGAGGCCCCGGGGAGCCGGCCGGAGGGCTCCGCGCTCGAGGGGCCCGCGCCCGCCGCCGCGTCGCCTTCGCCTTCGGAGGCCCCGGCCGACTCGCAGCCGCCGTCCTCGTCCTCCTCCCGGCTCTCCTCGCGGCCGCCCAGCGCGAGCGGCGCGGCGGAGGGGCCGCTGCTGCGCCAGGCCGCGTGGGGCGGGATGGCGGCCGGCACCTTGCTGGAGGCCGGCCTGGCCCGGGTGCTCTTCTACCCGACGCTGCTCTACACCATGGTCCGCGGCCAGGTGCCGGGCCCGGCGCGCCGCGACTGGTACAACCGCATCGACCGCACCGTGCTGCTGGGCGCGCTGCCGCTGCGCAGGATGACGCGCCGGGTGAGCGGGGCCGGGCGGCCGGGCGGCCGGGCGGGAGGGGCGCCCGCTCCGCGCCCCGGGCCGCGGCGCCTGTGCTGAGCCCCCTTTTTACCTCGGCAGCTGGTGGAGGACGAGAACGTGCGCGGAGTGATCACCATGAACGAGGAGTATGAGACCAGGTTCCTGTGCAACTCCGCCAAGGTGAGGGGCCGGGGCTGGGGCCGTGATCGTGACCGTGACCGGGAGCCCGGCCCGGAGACCGGTGCCCAGACCGGTGCCCGGGCCTATTTGCCCCCGTAAAAGGAGGGTCTGGTACTCTAAGCTTAAATGGCTGCGACCGAAGGTAATTGTGAAACAAAAACTGTTTGTGAAAGGCGTTTAAAAGCGGAGTTGACAAAGTCTGGTTCCCCTTTGGTGCACCAATGTGTTTTTAACTTCGGTAATGAAGAATCAGTAGCCAGCCCTGACCGGTTTGGCTCAGTGGATAGAGCGTCAGCCTGCGGACTGAAGGGTCCCAGGTTCGATCCAGTTCAAGGGCATGTACCTTGGTTGCAGGCACATCCCCATAACAAAAGTATGTTTTTAGGCCTGAACTTCGTTATGACAGTACTTTGTAACTCCACTACACCTCTGACATATGAATGAAAATACCCACAAGTCAGAGTCAAATTAACCCGATGCAGTTTTTCAGTGGGTGTTAGGATAAATGTACTCTTCGGGAGTGGGGGTGGCTTTTCTTCTCAAAGTTTGTAGGGCCTATCTCTTGCATGCCGAGGGCAGCGCCTCATCCATACTTAGTGCTCGGGCAAGTGTTGAATGGATGAAATCAGCAAGCCAAAGAAAAGCTGCCTTTCAAATTTGATTACTGATTTTTTTTATTAGTATATTGACTTTTTCAGAGAGGAAGAAAGGGATAGTTAGAAGCATCAGTGAGAGAAACATCAATCAGCTGTCTCCTGCTGAGGAAGGGAGAGGGATAGTCAGAAACATGGATAGGAGAGAAACACAGATCAGCTGTCTCCTGCATACCCCCCACGGGGGACGTGCCCACAAACGCAACCAAGGCACATGCCCCCGACCAGAATCCAACCTGGGACCCCTCAGTCCGAGGCCGACGCTAAATCCACTGAGCCAAACCAGCCAGGGCTATTTTGTTTTTTAGTATATATTTTTATTGATTTCAGAGAGGAAAGGATAGGGAGAGAGAGAAACATCAAAGATGAGAGAATCATTGACTAGCTGCCTCCTGTATGCCCTCCACTGAGGACCAAGCCCCCAGCCTGGGCACCCGTCCTGACTTGGAATTGAATCATGACCTCCTGGTCCATGGGTGGATGTTCAATCACTGAGCCACACCCGATGGGAGCTAACTCTATTTTCTTTTTCTTTTCCCTCTGTCTGACCAACGGCTGATTCTGGCTGATTCTGTGGGCTAACTCTATTTTCTACCACATACCCTCTCAAGAAAAAAGTGGTAAAAAAAGAGACTTATGGACAGAGAAATAAAAAGCACTTGCAAATTATAGTAGCCCAACCCCGAAGCTAGGTTACTGCATAGGCACCAAGATTATGCAAAGAGACAATTTCACTTAAAAAAATTTTTTTTTTTATTTTTTACAGAGAGGAAGGGAAAGAGAGAGAGTCAGAAACATCGAAGAGAGAGAAACACCGATCAGCTGCCTCCTGCACGCCCCCCACTGGGGATGTGCCCTTGACCAGAATCGAACCTGGGGCTCTTCAGTCCAAGCCAGACTGGTTTCGGCAAGTTTCACTTTTGTAGATGAATTTTATGTAGCTAATGTTTTGCAGTTAAAAATTCAAATATCCAACTCTGGTGTTTTACTTTTTGGTTGTATCAAACTTGTTATTAAATATAATCATATACTGTTTTTTAAAAAAAATTCAAATATCCAAAGGGCACTTTAAGAACACTTTAAATCTTGGACATAATTCTAACTCAGCAGCATAGTTATTGTTTGGTGAAAGACCAACCATTTAGATCAGTCATTGCAAAAATATTTCTGGCCCTGGCTGGTGTTGCTCAGTTGGTTGAGTGCCATTCTATGCACCTAAAGGTCCCCAGTTCGATTCCCAGTCAGAGCATATACCCAGATTTGGGGCTCCATCCCCAGTGGGGGTGTATTCATGTGTTCGGGAGACAGTTGATTGATATTTCTCTCCATGATGTTCCTCTCGCCCTCTCTCTAAAAATATCAATAAAAACATACTTTAAAAAAAACACCATACTTTAAAATTTTTTATTCAGTAACATAGTACTCTGAGTTGGGATTTTGGAGACTTCCATTTTGGATGGGTAGGTGCTAGAAAAGGGGAGGACAAAATATTTCGGTAAGAATTTCTTGTTAGAAAACAGTGAACAGTATACTCACAGTGTAGTAAACCCTGTAGCTCTGCTACTTCTCGGGAGCCCATCTTCATGACTAACGTCTGGCTTTCTCATTGCTTTTATGCTGGTGAACCTGCTCACAGGAATGGAGGAAAATAGGAGTTGAGCAGCTGCGACTCAGCACAATAGACATGACTGGGATCCCAACCTTGACTAACCTCCAGAGAGGAGTTCAGTTTGCTCTCAAGTACCAGTCTCTGGGCCATAGTGTCTACGTTCATTGCAAGGCTGGGCGCTCCAGAAGTGCCACTATGGTGGCAGCGTACCTGATCCAGGTAGGAGGGGTCTTTCTGGATTGGTCCCATTTACAGGCGATTTCCAGAACGTCAGTAGCAGGGTCTTGGGCCTTGCTGGAAGGAACCATGTCCCCAATGTCAGACTGTTGGGAGTACCTGAGCTTTGCAAATAGGCTACCTGTTGCTTTGCCACCTGCCAGCTATGTGACCTTCTGCAAAAGTGGCTTCTCTGTCCAATGCCATTTCCTTAAACTAAATGTGTTACGGAGTTTGAATGAGAAAGTATGTCAAGCACTGACTTACAGCAGACACTCAATAAATGGAGTTGCAAAGGATATTAACACCAGCTGAGGGCTAGAAGCACTTGTTAAAAATAGCACGTCTAGTACTGTAAATAGTGCTGATCACTTACAGCTCTGTAGTACTCAGATTTCTTCAAGTGTTTCAGAGTAGAGTTTTGGACATTAGTTTCTAGAAACAGGATCCAATGGAATTTTGCCTATCAATTTGTTACCATCAGCAGGTGGGACACTTAACTAGTAAAAATATTTAGAAGAAAATACTCTTACCATTCCATAGTATGCCCTCCGCTTAGTTCATTTTTGTTACCTGTCTGGCCCCTGCAGAGCATTTCCTAAGTCATGGGGATAGTTTAAGGAAAAAGGAAATGTAAAGATAACCACCTGGCCTTGTTTGTGTTACTGTGGGCTGGTGAGTATATGGTTTAACAATGCTGAAGCTTTGGTCATTAGGACTGTTTGCTGAAAACAGGGTCTCAGGAGGATATTTCAGGCCAAGTGAAAATTGAACCAGCAGCCTAGAATCTATATTTTTTGGTTCTCTTGTGTTCTAAACCAGTACGTTTAGGACCCAAAGATAACCTTACCAGTCAAATTTAAAGTGTTGTTTTTCTAGTTATGGTGACAAGTTGTGTAAAAACATCTACTCTTTCCAGGAAACTTTTACCCACTGGTCCAGCTCAGAAGGACACCTAGTAGCCTTGGCAGGCTTGGATTTAGGATCTGAGCTCCACACATTCAACCTTCTTTTGCCAGAGTTTGCCAGAGCAAGAATTAAGTAGACTGACTTGTCCCTCTGGCCTGTAATTTGAGGCTGGTTAGCTGAGAGTGGTGAAGTGCTTTCCCTGCCCTGACTGGTTTGGCTCAGTGAATAAAGCATTGGGCTGCGGATTCAAGGGTCCCAGGTTTGATTTCGGTCAAGGGCATGTACCTTGGTTGTAGACACATCCCCAGTGGGGGGTGTGCAGGAGGCAGCTAATCCATGTTTCTCTCTCATCGATGTTTCTAACTCTCCCTCTCCCTTCCTGTCTTGTTAGAAATAAATTAAAAAATATAAAAATAAATAAAGTGCTCTCCCTTATGATATATGGAACATGGTTTTTAACACCCCTCTCCCCTGGAGTTTTAATAAAAATGAAATTCTGGGAGTCCATTAGCACCTGTCATTAGGTCAAGACACTTTACACCAGCTTCTTTCATTTTCCACCCCTGAACTTCAGGTGTACAACTGGACCCCAGAGGAAGCTATACAAGCCATTGCCAAGATCCGGTCACACATCTATATCAGACCTGCCCAATTTGACATTCTCAAAGAGTTCCACAGGAAGGTTACTGCCGAGGCAGCAAAGAAGGAGCTGTGTTACACATGAAGTATGTAGATTAGGAAGAACTCAAGACAACCCTGATGGCGATAGAAGGCAAATGTTAAACAGGACCAATGGAGCTTAAGCCCAGGCAACGTAACCGAAGTGTGCTAAGTAATGGGTAATGGTTTTGTTTCTCCCTTTGTCATGGCTTCGTTTTCCTGAAATAACACTGTTGTCTGGCTAGAAAGATTTACCTTGGCTTTTATTTGCAGGGTATGGGATGTGGGGTAGGCTGAGGATGTCTTATTTTTTTTTTTAATAAGGTCAAAGAAATCTATCATGCACCTACTGCTGCACCTGGTGATACTTAGCACCATAACTCAAGGACATTGAACACTAGGAAGAGAAGAAATACTTAGCTCTGGCTCTTTGCCAGTCAGAATCTCAATTCACTGGCCTCTCACTTTTGGAGCCGCAATCCTGTGTATAAAAAAGGAAACATGGTGTTCAATCAGGAGTGTGGCTGACTCAGAATTGTCTGTGCATGTAATTAGTGTCCCTGAGGAAGTCACCCCTTCAGAATTCAAAAAAGACACACATATCCCTCTAGAAACTTTATTTGTATGAACAGTTTCTAGCTCTTGGCTGGACTTAGAACTTTTAAAAGAGTAGAGACCTTATATATTTGAGTTTGAAAATGTTTCAGCTATTAATAAAAAAGAAACCTACCTACTTTTTTTCTGGCTTATCCCTTGGAGTAAGCCAAAAGTCAAATCAAAGTATACATTTCCTGACACACAGATGAGAAAGCAATAGACGCAACGTCCAGAATTTGAGAGTTGACTCTTGCTGGTGAAGGACACCTTCAGTTTTGTCCAATCTCCCAACCAAAGCCTGAAGGAAAACTCGTAACACCTAATTCCTTGTGAAAAAATTACCAGGTAACTTTGCAGACTATAGAAGAAAGATGGGCATTTTTCCTTTTGTCCTGGGGTCAGGGGTGCTTATGTTTAACACTGATCAGGTCAAGAGGGGAGGCTGTACCTACGATCCGAGGAGATGCTTGCTCTGAGTCTGCGTAGGCACAGGATTACCAGGGATGGCAGAGAACAGGCTGACCTGTTCTCATTCAAGCAGCCAGCTGAGTAGCGGCAGTCTAGAGAGCCCCAAAATGGCTACCCCTATGGCTTCAGGGAAGGGCTGAGGGCTGCCTTTTGAACATGTGCCACAAAATAACATAGTACTCTGAATCGGATTTTGGAGGCTTCAGTTTGGATGGGTAGGTGCTGGAAAAGGGGAGGACAAAAGTCAGTCACTCTTCTCCCCACGCCTTATGCCAACACAAACTGCAAATTAGTAAGCAGCACCTTAATGCCTCTGGTGACTGTTATAGTTGAAGTGGCAGGGTCAAGCTTGTAGGTGTTGGCATCCCCCTTTTTATATCGATCCCGAAAAACATAAATGCTCCCATTACAGCTGGCGATCTTCCAGAGGGGTGGGGTCGAGGTCCAGGCCTCAGGAAGGCAAAGCCGGGTAAAGCTGTCTAGCAGGGGATTGTAGCAAACCAGGGAGTCCCCTTCGGCCACGATGAACACCAGATCCTTATGCACAGCTGCATGCATGCGGCCGGCAAAGGGCAGCACATAGGGCTTCATGTAGCACTTGTCTGTCTCTGTATCAAAGCACTGGATGAGCCGGGAAGGTTTGGTAAAGAAGTCTAGGTCATTCTCCTCCCCCCCTAGCAGGTAGATGATCCCGTTGAGATTGGCTCCAGCGGCCCCGGACACAGCCACCTCTAGCTGTGTTGTCTCTATCCAGATGTTATAATCTACCTGGTAATAGATAACTGCGTTGGAGAGGGTATCCTGCAGCGTCTTGCCACCCAGTGAATAGATAGCATCTCTCCCGGGCACGGACACCATGGTGTGCTGGAGCCGGTCCCGGGGTAAGGGCGCACACCACTCCCAGTCCACGGTGGCATTGTTACACTTCCACATGCGCCGTGGGATGGACCCTCCTACCACGTACAGGTCTCCGCCGTGCTTGCAGGCTGCAGTGATCTGGTGGCACAGACTGTTTTGGCCACGTACACTGATGGAGTCATCTTCAGCACAGTGCAAGGACACAGCCAGGGAGTGGGTACGAGATGACTCTTTCCCAATCAGATAAATGTGCACGTTCTCCCCAATTTCCTATTGGAAAAATTAAAATGATCAATGCTATCTACTGATTCCAGGCTAAGGCTCAGCTTAGGCTCAACGCCTTAAGGTCTTAGGCCACACACTTGAATTCTGCTGCAGCCTACTCCCCTCCAGGTTGTGTGTGTCACCCTGACTCTCCTCCAGTCACTGTCTTTCAGATATTTTATGCCGGGGCAGAGAATCTCATCCTTTCAGCTTCTTAAAACTATCATGAGCCAAAACCGGTTTGGCTCAGTGTATAGAGCGTCAGCCTGCGGACTGAAGGGTCCCGGGTTCGATTCTGCTTAAGGGCATGTACCTTGGTTGCGGGCACATCCCCAATAGGGGGCGTGCAAGAGGCAGCTGATCGATGACTCTCATCAGTTTCTAACTCTATCTCTCTCCCTCTCTGTAAAAAATCAATAAAATATATTTTTAAAAAACTATCATTTTTGTTTTTTGTTTTTTTTTAGCAGCACCTTTGTCTGAGCTGGTGACTCAGACAAAGGTGCTTAGGACTGTTTACACAGGGTTGAAAGTAGTTCCCTCAAGGAGCTTTGGAGCTCAGAGGCATACATATCCTTCTCCCCCAGCTTCTATCAACTTCAAGCCAGAGACAATCCCCAGTCATCAAAATGGCCAGCCCAACTGACGGGTGTGACACATGGCTAGTGTAGTGTCCCAATCCAAAGAAATCTGCCTTACCTTCAAGCTACTCTTGAGTGATTCGGCAAAAGACTCTCTTTCCTCTTTATTAAAATTGATCCAGGCTTCTATTGCCTCTGTTGGGTTCTGGGAACATGGAACTCCATCTGTGAGACCCAGAGGAAAGGCATGGTCAATGGCACTCTGACAATCCACAAGGGAGATTTAGAGCCAGGGACTTTAAATATATGAACCTCTTTGTTAGACTGCTACCTTGTATGTATGAATACATGTGTGAGAAAATCTCAAACTGCCTTTTAATCAAAATGGTTGGTTTGATATACTCCCATTTACCACAGAAGCAATCTACTAGGCTGCAGAGCTCACACCTAAAGTATGTTTATGTCTCACTTGCAGTGTCAGGATTGTAACCTAAACTTGGCCCATCACTTAAAATGTTTTTTAGGGCCCAGCCGGCATGGCTCAGTGGTGGTGTGTCAACCTATGAACCAGGATGTCATAGTTTGATTTCTGGTCGGAGCCCATGCCCAGGTTGTAGGCTTGATCCCCGGGGTGGGGGTGGAGCAAGCAGGAGGCACCCAATCAATGATTCTCATCATTGATGTTTCTATCTCTCCCTCTCCCTTCTGCTTTGAAATCAATAAAAATATATTTTTTAAAAAGATTTTTTTTAGGTGTCTTGACTTATCCATCATTCATCATAAATTTACTTAGGTAACAGGTACATGCAGAGTGCAGGGTAGATAAGAACACCTATGTCCCTAGCTGGTTTGGCTCAGTGGATACAGTACTGGCCTGTGGACTGAAGGGTCCCAGGTTCAATTCCAGTCAAGAGCACATGCCTGGGTTTCGGGTTCAGTAGGGGGTGTGCAGGAGGCAGCCTATCAGTGATTCTTATCATAGATGTTTCTACCTCTCCCTTTCCCTTCCTCTCTGAAATCAATAAAAATATACTTAAACAGAAATAGAAAAAAAAAAAAAAAAAAGAACACCTATGCACAGGGGAAGATTATAGTATATATACAAATACTTCCTACCTTCTTTTCCTGGAGTTTTCCTCAAAAGAGGACTCAGTCTCTGACAGCAGCTATATTAATCTCTACTCAGTTTCTTTCAGAGGATACCTAAATTCCCACCAATACTGTAACTAACACCAGGAAGCCTGAGGGTTCCTTTTTCTTGAACCAGAACATACACTGGGTATGATATGCCCCCTCCTTCAGCTTACCAGAGATGATATCAGTGAGTAGGTGGTGGGGCAAATGGAGAAATTCCTCTGTGTCCTGCAGCTGGGCGAGGTGGGCCTTGGCACAGTGCTTGCCAGCAGTGTAGAGCTCAGGGTCACTGTGCCGATCTGCCAGCCACATCACCTGAAGGCAGTTCCCCACCTGCACTGTGCGGGCCAAAAACCGAGAACATTCCTCAAAGAGAGATGTCAGCTGGTACATATCTGACACCTCATAAATTTCCTGCAGCTCATCAGCTCTAAGTTTCACAGTTCCATGGTAGATATAATCAACCAGGAGCTGGAAAACAGACTCACTGACATCCTGCAGCACAATCACCCGGTTGTGGGCCTCCTTCAGGTTGGACGTGAACATGGACCGGAAGAAGCAGCTTTGAGCTGAGAGGACCAGCCGGTGGAGCTGAAACTCCCGGCCTTCCACTGAAATGGTGACGTCAGCAAAGAGCTCTTCCTCCAGACACAGTTTCATGATGCCCTGAGCCACACGGCCCGAGTGTGACCGATCTTTGAAAGTGTAGTTCACAAAGTAGTTTTCATCCATGAATGCTCCAGGCTCCTCTGGTGATTCCATGGTAGCCAACTTCTCTGCCAGTCGTCTGCAAAGTAACACCACCCTCAATAACTTAAGGAATCCACAGCCACAGTCTATGAATCAATGGTGCAATTCAGAGAGGGAGAAGGAAAAAGTGATTGTTAACCAAGTGGGCCCAGGTTGTCCTTAATTCTGGCCTCACCAATAACATCTCTGATGATCCCCTTCAACTACAGCTGGGTTCATTCTGCAATGGCACCCCAAACCTACTGACATTAATACAATTTCTTACTATGGGTATTTCCTTTCCGTGATGTAACAAAAGTCCTGGTATTTTTAGTCAAAGCATGAAAACAAGGGGCTGGAGTAAGCCAATTATCTTAAAAACCTGTGAAAGAGCCTTCAAACTACTGCATATAAAGCTATCGATGTAGAGAGTAGAACCAGGCAGATGTTCTCCCTCCCTGCGCTCGCAGGGAGTCCAGACCTTCTACTGCGAGGCTTGGCGGAGACATCTGTCAGCCCCACATTTGCTCTTTTCTGAGTTTCTCCCTCGCATTTCTCAGCTCAGCCTACTGACACCCCGCCCCCCCCCCCCCCAAGGCTCCGTCCCAGAACGCGAG